ATATATATATATATATATATAAAATTGACATGGCACCATAAAGCCATGGTAATGGATACTTGGCCATGATGCTTTGATGTATATCATGTTACTGAAGGATTGACATATTAATATGCAATTGTTGTACCATATAAACCCAATGATTCCAATGGCACCATGTCAAACATAGTTATACAGTATTACTTGTGTGTAAATGGCTCATATACTGAGTTGCAACAATACTTTATTAATTAAGTTTAAATACATGGTATGTTTGGAGGCCAACGTGGTCCATAATGGTTTTATGGTCCATAATGGTCATAAAATCAATTGTAATTTTTTTTGTCCATTGTTCTTTGATGTATACCATTACACTGAAGGATTAACTATTAATATGCTGTGTATTTACATGTATTTCAAAGCATATTGTCGTATTAACCATCATGCTAGTTTCCAAACAATATTGTAATACTGTGGTACTTGTGTAAATGATCTGTCAGCCCATATCTACTGAGTTGGAGTTGCAACCATATTTAGACCTACTTACAGACAGTATCCTAAATTTGTTTGTAACAAAAGTAGACAAGAATGTGCTTGCCATGGTACGCCATTCAAAAAAGGTGGCAATACCATGGTACCTTTTTTGTAGGTGGTCAATTGGTTTTTATTCATTTTTTTTGGAACCACATTTGCTCTTAGATCTTTACCTATCCCTACTATGTGACTACAAAACATGGTATTAACTGTTTTATCATTCTCTATAAACAGGGAAATACCATAGCACCTCTTTTGTAAGTCATCTGTTGGTCCATTTGTGCCAAACTGGCACAACCACATTTGCTTACATAGACAAAACTCCAGCCAAGTTATGTAACTTAAGTAGAAAAAGCTTTAATCTGAAATCCATCATTAAATGTCACTCCATCAGTTCACTCGCATGCCTTCCTTATGTAATGTATGTGAAATATCTGTTCAGTGCATGTTCTCCTCCATGCAACTCTCACATAAATCAAGACTAGAATGCACTGAGTTTGATCACTAACAGATTGAGATAATATTATACATATTTTCTCCATTTCATGATTTATAATGGCTGTGGTTTGCAGAATAACATTCTATATCATGTGATGTAGATGATTGAGAACATGGTACGGCTGTTCCTCTAGTTTAAGAAACTTCATCAGCTGATCAGTTCACCATAACTGTTGGCCTCCAAAACATGCCAACTGACTCATAAGTTTCACCACTGTTATCTCTCACATTTTCAACCTGTCACGTTCCCCCGCATGAGTAAAAGGAGTCTTGTTAGTGTAATATGCCATTGCAGTATATACTGGAGCTGTGAATGCCTGCGTACCACCCAGCTTCGCTGCCCCGCGGATAGTTACTGTTGGAGGCTAACCAGTATGTCTGCTTGGGCTGAAGACATCCTGTCATTAGCCTCTTGCGCTGTGCCAAGGTAAAGTAGTTTGGGAAGTGGGCACAGGCCAAGCCTTAATGTTAGGGTGTCTTTGAGAGATAAGTGTGCAAGTTAAATTATTTATCGTTTTGACACTTAATTTTTTATTCTGTCGGGGGTTGAAGCGAGGGAGCTTGGTATGCAGTTCGAGTGCTCTATATAGTGTGTAAGTGTGAAGGCAGTTAGTGGCTATGACATGCTGTATAAATGCATTCAGCCAGGGTCTCATCACCTGAAACTATAATTTATGCCTGATATGGTGTACAACCATATGTCTCACACCTCACACCACAATTTATCAAACAGGTCAAATGTCTGCTTGGTTTTGTGAAAAGGCACTTACTATCCTTCCCTGAACTGCTTTGCGGAAAGATATTTTGTAAACCAGACATTTGGACTTTCCATAGGTCGTTTCCCTGTACTTCCTGCTGTGGCTTCAAATTTATAGGGCTCATTGTTCCACCGTGTGCATTTAGCAGCTCGCTGTGAGTTATTGGACTCTTGCAGAGCTTCCCAGCTCTCCGCCCGAAACCTAAACTTTGTTTCCCACTGTCTTTGTGATGGGCGCTGATAACATCTATAAAGCCTGCCCCGAACTTTGGCTCAGAGTAATTAGTCAGTAATTCATTGCTGCCGACTTTGCAAATGAGCAGTCCCTTGCAAACACCTTTAAGTGAACCTCAGCCTTCTGTATATGTGTATGTCCCATTGTAACTTTAATCCGTAATGTGTTTGTTTAGTATTACAGATCTGAAAGTTCATATCACCAGCCAGAATGTTTGATAAATGTTCTCTTGCTACGTATGTTTAGCTAGGGTGACTGAGAAGTTTGTTTTATTTTCTGAGTGTTTGGACCAGCGCAGCTCTAATAAACGCAAATGCTATTGTTTGACATTTGGCCGAGTCTCAAACTCCTCACGACCTGTTTGGAGATAAAAGCCTCCTATGTCCGGTCTGCTTGGCGGTTTTCAATTTCAAATTCCAAATCCAGCATAAACAACGACATTCTCAACTTTATGTGTTGTGAAAACCTTGAGCTGGTGTTTGCACAGGAGAACTGGAGATGAACCTGGATACGACTGTCCATCAGCAGGGCGATCATTTTATATTTGGATGGAATTCACAACCCTGAGAAATAAATATTTATGATTGTTTCTTGCTGAAGGAGTTGCTAGTGGCAAAAAGCCAGGTGTTTTTTTTTACTTTCTGAGAGGAAGCTTGGCAAATCTAAAGCTTGAGTCGGCCTACATACTGCAGCGCTGAAAGAGATCATAAGTTACGGTTTACGTTTTGAAGCCCTTGGGAATTTGCTGTACATTTGTGACATTTGAACAGGAAACCTGAACTAACTGGCAGATGTTTGGCATTTGGAGCAGTCATGTGGATGAAGAACAGTCTTTTACATTTCCTTATCTTCTGCTTCTAGTGACCCTAGCGTCTGGTTATCCAAACAAGGCCCTCGTACAAGCAAATCACGACTAGAGGAAGTGGAAATGCTTCTATTGAAGCACTATTTTCTTGTGTACTGCTGTGTTTTAAACCTGCGGTTGTTAATCAACTTATTGTTAGCGGTCGGTGACCTGTTGTAAAATGTCAAAACATCGGCACCTTGGTTAACTGCCATTGTGTAATTTCAAACATAAAAATTTGGTTTTGCAATTTTATGACATTGTACATTTGCCAACGGTCTACTGCTTCGAATGAGACTTTGCCACCTAAACAAGCATGGGACGGCATGTTTTGCAGTCACCATTTTTTCCAAACAAGGTCACATCAACACTACAAATACCTCTGAGATTCAGTCATGGGTAAGTACGGTTAAGCAACCAACCGTTAACACTTTCTCCTTTTGTTTTTAGGACATTCCAGGCTATGTACCAAGCATAGTGGAGTATTTTTGGTAATCTTTTCAACAACGGAAATTCCTGCATTTATTTGTTACCACTGATATTTGTACTAGAGGCTACACTGCATTCATGTTCTCCACCAGAAGTGTAATACCATTAAATGGAGATTATGAGCAACTTGAAAGTTTGAAACTCAAGTCTTGATAAAACAGGTAGAGCCTCACTTTATGCTCCGGGTCCTGCTACGAGGCTCTTGGAAGGTCCTTTGGAAGTCAGGCCTTGTTAATGTACCGCTCAACAGCCAAAGCATGATGTACTACATCCATTTAACTGTTGGACCAAATCAGCACATAATCGAAGAGCTGGAATGCAATGAGACCAAGTTCCCTGTGCTGGCCCTCTGAGAGGTCACCCTTCTCCTCAGATTACATTTCGCTCCATCTTACCTAGCTGTCCGGTCTTTTCAAGCATGACGCAGACTGACTCGCGTTCAGTTCAGAATTTATGCTCTTCCTTGTTTATGATGCATGACAGGCATTGCTATTTTCTCTGCGAGCCACAATCATTTCCGTTGCTTATCGCAATGATGCATATATGATGATAGCGCCACCTTTTGCGTTTGGATTGGTCTCACTTAGGAACACAATGGTCACGGTGTGTGCACATGAATTAGCTAGCCTGTTGATTGTGACAGTTGTGCGTTCATCACTCTTCTTCATTGGTGTGTAGACAGTGTGCAGGTATGAACTCTATAAATAGCCCCTTTCTAGGCTTGTGTGTTTAGACTCGCTTTTTTTGTTTGCTTGAGAAATATCGCAGTGCTTTGTCAGCGACGCAGTGACACATTGCTGCAGATTGAGTCGTCACTTATTAACGTGCACCAGACACCACATAGAGAATGAATTATATGACCTGTTGCTCTCTTTGTGCGGCCAACTCCTATCAAGTATATTTGTCTGTGTTCAAAAGCGGTTGACACTTAGTTCAATATTTGAAGCCTTTAGTATCAGTGGGCAGAGTTCAAAAGAGGAACAGATAAGTCGTATAACCTGTACCATGTGTTGAGGAAGCTACTGTGAAGTTGTAGCATCCCCAACAACTCATAATTAAATGGAAATTAGACTACAGTAAATTTTTAGCCTTTAAATATGTTTTAACCAGACATGACACGATAACCGGTTAGCAATAAAAGGTATTTTA